ACAATCACTCATGGTTCCACAACAAATCAGGGTTCCACCTTGAATATAGGAAATCCTGTTGTATGAACCCAGTCAGTGATACGTTTTGGATAACGTATGTGGGTATGATGTTCCATATCCAAGCCCACTTGAGGACTGTTGTGTTGTGTAAACCTGGTGAGGACAGGGTATGCAAGGATTGTTTAACCCATGCTCACCAGTTTTGCATATTACAGCAACTGGCACATGCACCACAGACTCACTTTAGGTACTTATGATGGACTCTCGTGCCCTATTAACAGCACACTGACTCAATAGGAAGCTTCTAGGAAAGTGTTTATATGATTCTGACCTAGCATTACTTCAGAATGAACTGCTCCAGTATTAAAACCATTCTATTCTCAAAGTTAGTAAAGCATACAAAAAACTGCAAGATGCTGTATCTTTTATTTTGGGGAGGTGGGCAGGCCAAAGGACTATTATATTTACACTTATTTGGTTGGATATAAGGCACTCATGACAATCAGGTATCAGGTACAAACAGACTTCTCTCATTCCATTCTTTTCTGCAAAGAACCCTGGTGAATGGGGTGGGCTATGGGGTGGGGGAAGGTCCTTAAAGAAATTAGTCAGAGGGAACTTCTGCTAATGACACTCCCGTAAGGTACTTCTGGTTCATATGCAGGGATCTTCCTAAGGACAGGCTGGACATGCACATGGTAGGCAAGTAATGAGTGAAGCTGGCTGGAGCTGGGGGTCAGACTAGATGGCCCAGGAGACCCCTTCTGACTCACTCTGTTTCTCTGTTTTGATGTTTCTATGTTTCTTTGGTCAGCTGTTTGGTGATACTTGTTTACTGCTGTCTTCATCACCTTCTGGTCCTCTGAGTGGGCATCTGGGGTCCTGGACTTCAACCCTTGGCATACTGCTGACCAGTTGCAGGACAATATTAGTAAACTGTAATCTCTTTTGTAGTAAAGTCTAGTGTTGCTATTCTGTTTGACAGTAGTGGGGTATTTTTAGGAAAATGGAGTTAAGGTGGTGATAGTTGTGGGAAAGTTAAGAATTATACAGCAGTACCAGTGTTTCCCAGCCTAAGGTCTGTTTCTGTTTAAAGACTTGATTAATCTGGGACCAAATTATTTGAAGGACCACTTTCACCCATATCAGTCTGCCCACATCTTAGCAGCAACAAGAGTGACCCCTCTCATTTGCCTACTTGTTAGGCTGGCATCTATACTGCAATGATGGGGCCTTTTCTGCAGTGATCCTATATTCCTGGAATAAGTTGCCAATGCAGGTCTAACATTGCAGGATTTTACGAAAACTTTATGAACTCTTACTATTTATTCTGGCCTACTCTAATTATATGCTACCTGATAGTTCATAGCTGCAGATGTCTGTTGAAAGTTGTTTTATGCTGCTGTTTGATGCTTTTTAGAATATTTGTTGCTGCTGTTCTTTTTGTTGCTTGTATTGTGGTTTTGCTGCTTTTATTGTTACACTGTTTTTCACTGTGTTTTATGTGCTGCCTTTGGAGTGCACCTGCCCTGAAAGGTTACCAAGAAGTATTTTAATTAACTAAACTCAATTAAACATTCAATTAACTAAATGAATAGATAATATACTTTTACATAGGCATAATCTCTACTGAACAGAATGGAACTTATTTTTAAGTAAACATGTATAACATCATGCATGCTTTGCATTAGGCTGCAATTGTGTGCCTACTTACTTGAGAGTAAGTCCTACTAAAATCATAAAGACACAAGGAACAGTTACGTTTTCAAGTATATCATTCATTTGATATACAATTGTTTTGCTTTATCTTATTACATTTATATTTTGCCTTTCTTCAGGTGTTAAAGATTTCCCTATTTTGGACTTAGAAGTTCTACATAAAAATACATATGTGAACATACACGCCACAAGCATAAATGTCATGTAAAAGTTGAGTGCTAGGAGGAAACAGTAAAGGTCCAACTACAATCTGCTAGGCCCAGGGCCCACCAGGACTTTAAAAAACTTCTTAGCCCTGCAGCCACTATAATGAGTCTGAGCCATAGGTACTCTTCTACACGTGGAAGATGTCTTTCACTCAATAAAAGCTATTTTATTATTTATCTCATGGCAGAACATTCTGTAAGAACAGTGAAACTAAAACAAGAATGAATTTACTTGTGCAAGAGCTGACACGAACTCTTGCAGAGTGACCAAGGCTACTGGGCTGTGACCTGCAGAGATCCTATTGCTGTTCTCTTGCTACCCCCTTCCCCAATCCAGGTGAAGCCCCTCTTCTCCCAGTGCTCTCGCCCAATGCTGACAAGATCTGTGAATGCTGAGAAGCAGAGAGACAGCAGCACACTCAGAAGGAGTTGGATGGAGAGGAAAGAGTATGGCAGCGGCAGCAGAAAGGTCTTCAAAATGTCTCTAATAAACTGGCAGGAGAAGCCAACTGAGAGAAAATAAGAAAGAGTGGGCTTGCCAAATAGCTGCTGCATCTTTTTTTCCTCAACAGGTACAATGCTCCCCTTCTAGTCCAGTAGTGGCTGCTTGACAGATGGTGTGTATTTAAACAGAGGCCTTGCATAGAATTCCTCAAAAGATATACAGGTTTTCCTTTCTCCTCCTTAGTACAAGTGCAGTTGAGATCTTCCACTGAGTGGTGAAGAAATCAATCAAAGATTAACAGAGGAAGAGACTGAGGTAAGAAGACAAAGTAACCTCTTTTGTTGTCTGAATAGGTATTTTCCTGGTTCACCAATTTTTAAAATGTCACGTTGGATGCAAATGAGAGCTACTCTAGAAATAAATGGAGGAATCCAAGATGTTAAACTTAGCTGTGATTGGGCATCAGTCTGTATATCTCCCGACAAACTGGGGCAGAAAAGAGAGACATTCCCACTTTTTCTAACTGCAGGTCTGAGTGTGAAACATTTAAGCTTTTCAACATTTAAGCAGGAGTGCTAAAACAGAATGGGCAGAAGGCCAAATCACTCTTCAACAGACCCTCCATGTCAGTGTGCATGGCAACAGTCACTGACTTCATCTCTTTCCCCAATTTTCCTTGCTTTACGCTGAGAGAAATACAAGAAAGAGACTTAGTCAAACACCTACTTTTGCACAAAAAGTATCACCCCGTGAGTAGCGGTGGATATGTGTGTCATGTACAGCCACTTGGCCAGTACTGAGAAGAGAAGGTGGCTCCTATTAACGTCAACAAAATAATATAAATTAACAGTATAAATTAAGTCGCCCTGGCCAAAGAATAAAATAAATAATGTAATTAGGGAAGCTGAAGGCAAAAGTTTTGTAAGCTACAAAACTGCCCATATTAATGGGCAGTTCAAAAGTGCTTTAAATAAATAACATAAATTTAGTAAGGAAGCCCTATTGATTTCTGCAGAACTTCTTTTCAGGTAAAGCACAACTTTACCCTCATCCTCACGTATAGAAATAAGGCTTTTGAAACTGTCTGCAAGGTGCCTTTATGCAGTTTATTCTCACCAATCATGACAGCAGGTGTCTAGTTTTTAACTGGCCATAAAATACAACCTTCAGTATTTGAGAGTCAGCCACAGCTGAGCTTTTATAAGCATGGTTGCAATGCTTATCATTTGACAGTAATTAAGCATACCACAACCTTTCAAAATGACAACTATCATTTCTGTGGTCCACTTATATGTGCCAGATACTCCCCAGCAATGCATGTTTAGCTTCCATCTGTAGTTCTCTTCCCATATACACACATATATGTGTGTGTGTGCCAAAACCTCCCAATTTTTCTTGACCTTGGCAGCCACCAATGATTTGTTGCAATCACTCCTCCCAAAGTTCCTCAGTAGTTATAGAAGATTCAGCAGAATGATCAACCACATCAGGTTCTGCAAATATTCTAAAGCACTTAGGCTAATTTGCATTGCTTCCAAGCAAAGTCCAGCACAAAGTAAATGCATGAATGTGTCCTTTTGCAAATTCTAGAATTGGGGGAGCAGAAAGACTGCTCACATCATGCTCGGATAGGTAGTCCTTCAATCAACAATGGCTTGGTGATTGCATTTAGTCTTCTGATTACAACTGCATTTACAGAATCTTGTGTACTACAGATTATACTGGAATCCTAACTGCTCCAGTTTAGTTTATTTGTCAAAAATGCCTAAATGGGTGCAAAGTGAGGTTTCTAGTGATAGGCGGAGGACGACTAACACCCTATATGTTTAATACTATTTCTTACCATTTATGTATAACCATGCACCCCAAGCACCCTTCATAGATGTTCATCTTTTCAAAGAATCCCAGCCATATATTCCCTTTCCCCTTTGACTCCCCAGCTGAAGACTGAAGAATACAATGCAGGTTTTTGTTCCCTCTGTCCAATCCTACAGCTTCACACTGCCCAAAGCTCCAAGTGATGTCTGTATTTAATTAAATGTATACAGACAACACAAATTTGCAGATTAAATCCAATTTATGTTTGTAAAAGAAAGCGTAAACACCATGATTAATAATTTAAAGTTAATTTAAAGGATGCTAATAACAACATATAAGCAATCAATTTTACTTGATTTTTCCTGACTTCCAAAGAATGTATCAAACATAACTATCTAAGGATGATGGGAATCTAAATCCTAGAATATGAATTTCCAGATAACAGTTATACAATACGTCGTTCAACAGCAACAAGAATAATCTAGTGTTATAATAAGAATTTTTACAACTACATTCTTATCACTTTGCATCCATTTCTGTCCAATGAAAAAGGCTTCTATAATTTTTTTTGTATTTTACAACACATTTTATATAATAGAAATGGAGAAATAGTCCATTAGTGTATTCTACAGTGGTTAATGATTGGCCATAAACAGTCTCCACCTTCTACACTTGCAAAGAAACAGCATATTAATTTTCATTACCTTCAAATTAGGGACTTGCAACTCAAAAATAAAGAATTTGGATATGCAACACATTTTGAGAAGTCCGGCTTCCATAAATCATAAAGCTGAAAATCATCAGAGATGTACCTTGGGAGGAAAAGCTGCATCCACTGTTTTTCTAGCTTCCAAATGGTTTTCAGAGTCAGTTTCTGAGCTGGAGTCTGAAGAACTTTCCTCAATAGAGCTAGATTCTGAGTTTGAAGAAACCAGTGCTTTCTGAACTTTCCTTTTGTTTTCTTCTGCTCCTTCAGAGTCACTAATTATAAAATAGATGTATAAGAAACTCCACAGGAGAATATGCTATCTATAAACTAAACAAAAATGTATTAAGATACATAGGCTTGTCATGTAGTATTAGCAACATTTCCAAAATACTTGGATCTCTGAGGATGTCTTTATGAGAAATCCTAACAATAAATGGTGCATAGTGGTGCTTTGTTCATACATTATGGCTAACTATGGCTCAACTGCTGGGAACTGCTATGCACTTGCATGTTACCCCACCTCCACTCCCCATCGTCTCACATATGTTGATTCTTTCCTCCTTATTCTGGTGCACAGTAGCTACAGTTTGCAGTGATGGTTTGAACTAGTTTCCCATTCTGGTCTCAAGACAAGCTGCAGTTAGAAGTAACTGTAATGTGACTGACTGGGACATCACTACATCATGAATACTGCAAACTAGGATCCAGGGGAAAGAAGTAGTGAATGCAAGGAGATTAGGAGCATGTATCCCCACAGCACATTTCTGGTGATTAAACAAATTTTTGCCCTTGTTAACTGAATGGGGCCTATGAGCATGTGTAATAGACTATCTATACATTTGCTTTTTGATGCTCACTCAACATTTTATAGGTCATATAAACTAAATTATATGACATTGTTTCAGCAGCATAATACACAGACATTTCCGTTACTTTACTGAAAGTAAGCATGTGTACCACACAAAATCATAGTGCTCAATAGGAAGGAGATTTGTCATAAGTGTGGATACTTTTGCTAAGCTTTTAGAGAAATTAAGCACTACATAGTGCTTATATAACTATGAATATCATTTTATCGAACAACTCCACAGGAGAAAGTTGGTATATAAATTAATAAAACAAATGTTTAACAGAACAACAAGTGCAGTTAAATGCTAATCTGTTACAGCCTTCCCAAATAAAGTTCCTTAAAAGGAAATATAACTGTGTGAAATTCTTCCCCAAATTTCATCTCTATCCATACACCACTACTTCATGAGACTTGAAAAGCAGAATTAATTTCAGAAATGATTCACTGTAAACCCACTATTCCTTCCGTAAAATAAAACTGTTTTGGATACAGACAATTACTAACATGAAGATACATTTTTTCAGGGCGAACTTATTGTATTACACTATATTGATAGGTAATCATTGTTTACCTTACCGCTTAAGAGTTTCAGATGTTAACCTAATGAAAAAAATTTAGTGGTAACTAGCTTTTTAACTTTGCAATGATGAAAAGCCTGTATTAATTTAACCTACAGATTTCATTTGTTCTGAACAGGAAAAACAATATAAATCACTTTTAAAATCATTAAATCCTGACTTAAATTAATAAAGTCATAATTAGGGCATTATGCTGTGTTTGTTATGGAAGTGGCAGGGCGAGCTGCTTTAATTACTGTCTGTAATAAAAGGAGCAGAGTGCGTACTGCGCCCCAATCAGCGCTGTCAGCCACGACTGAGCTGAGCTGCAAACTCATCAAGTGAGCTGGCAGGAGGCTACAGAGGAAAAGGGCGATCATGTCTGCAGAGGCCACGTGCTAACAGAAGTGGAAGAAACAGATTCTGACAATCCAAGGTATTAGCCCCAATTACTTAAAATTTTAATGATATTTTAATACATGTTAACTCTGCTGGTAATAGCCAATCTTAAAAAGCCCTAACACTTAAGCAGTTTCTGACTGTCTCCCTTCACAGCCCTTGCTTCCAATGTCTGGATCATAATCCTTTTAATATAACATTATTTAGGGGGAAATCAATTGCCTTTTTTATATAATGGCAGAATATAGAATGATTTAATTTCAGCCCCCAGCAAAATTGCTGTATAAGGTAATTAAGTGTTTCATAAAGCGGCATGATAACTGTTCAGCCTCCCAAGGTTATGCTAATATACTCTGCTCATCACCTAAATATTCAACAAAAGTTAAATATGAAATAAAAAAGAATTATTCAACTTGAATGCAACAGATACAATCTGAAAATATAGAAATGCCTACTATCTTTCCATGATTAATATTGCTATGAAGAACAATGCTGAATGTATTTGTTGCACTAATGATAAAGTGTCAGTGTTCTGATTGGCTACCTGGGATAATCAAAGTACACACATACCTCTCTAAAACAGTGGCCCCTTTTCTTGAGACTCCCTTTCTGGCCTTTGATTTCCTATTACTGTCATCTTCAGCAGAACTCTCACTACTTTCCACACTGCTATCTTCTTGCCCTTCCTTTCTTTCATCTTCTTCACTATCAGATTCACTTTCTAGAATTAAAAAAGACACATTTGTAAACAATTGAATTGAGTTACGTGTAATATTAAGACCACTTGATGTTTCTTTATGCTGGCAAAATTAATGCACTAAAACAGTGAATTCTGCACTAAAACAGTGAAGGCTGAACGCTTAGTTTTTGTTTTTCTTAACTCAATAAAAAATTTTTGTTAAAATTCAGGCACTTACTTCCGGCCTTCATACTGGTATAGGGATGGAGCGGAGAAATCAGACATGACCTCCTGTGTCCTCTACTCTCACTCCTCTGCTCTAACATCTTCAATATTTAAGTATTTAATCTAGTCTTGAACACACATCTAGTGATGACAATTTAATCAGGAATTTAAACAAGTTATTCAGTTTCTAATAGGCTGGAAAGTGTTTCTAATATCTAACTTGAAGGTACACTTTCCCAGTTTCAGTCCATTGCTTCTACTTATAACCCTTAATAATCTTTAGCAATTTTTTCTTGTGTCCTCAGTGTTCAAGGGAGTAGTCCAGCTGGATTTAAATCATGTCCTTTCTATATCTATTTGTATGGGTCACTATACTTAAAAACTGGTACTTCATTAAATTCAAATGCTGGATTTGAAGATCCAGATTTACAAAAAGGTAAAATGAATAGTTAAGAAAATCTTATATGGTATTATAGGTTTCAAATTGTTCCACTACAGATTTAAACTGGAATGTCCAATTTCCTATTCTGTGTGTTTTAGGAAAATATTACTTTTCTGTCGTTCACCACAAGAAGGTAATTTCAAATGCAACATGACTTGTATAACAACTAGAATAAAAGTTTTAAGAAGAATAAATGCAAGTACAACCCAGATAAGTAATAATTTCTAAAACAGTGTAGACTAGTGACACATACATCCAGAGTCCTAAAATATTAAGAGCATTTTGTTTTTGCAATAATTTACATTTTAAAAAGCATTTCTCATTATTCATAACTAACTCTAAGGCAATGTTATCTTTCCATTTTTACTGAAGCCCAACATAGCAATGGGCTTCAGACATGGAGATCTTCCAAGCTAAACTGGGGAAAATTCATATGTAACTATAGTGTGAGGTCTCCACTGTGAGCAAGCTGTTTTAAACATCAAAGGCACTGCTTGAATATTATAGTATAAAGTACTGTAACCAAGAGAAGTCTGCAACTCCAACCTTGTGAGATAGGACATGCTGCAAGCCCATTTTTGTAGTATATTTCAGAAGTACAACTGCTGCCAACTATGGAATCAATACCAAACATTCTAAACAGAGAATGAGCCCTTTTCCAGAGTTTATTTTAATTTCTATGTAAAGCAGGTTACCAGGTATGCCACTAAGACCAATGTTAGGCAAAAGAACAAAATCAATTATAGTTTCCTATTGAATATATTTATTCTTGGATCAAGTAGAGAGATGTTCTGAATTGATTAGTTACTTTTAAAATAAAATGAAATAGAATTAAGCAGCAAAGACTTTACTCATGATGAACCTAAATCCTAACAATAACTCATTAAAACAATTTGCACCGTGGCATAGACAAGTGGTGGTAAAATCTGGACTGGAAGAGTCTAACCTTGGCTTGAATATATTTAATTTACTTTTATTTTTAGGCTTAGTAAGTCAATCAAAGTTTACAGAGTATTAAACAAACATATGCATTTCAACTCTGAAAGGGTCTGGAAATTCAAAGTGGCTTAGCCTGGTGACTTTAGCATGTATCCTTCAGGTGATTCCTACATGTACCAAATGCCAAGTCATAGGGGGCAGTGATGCTTCGCATGTGGAATAATGCAAATTTTGGTATCTATACATATATATCTCCTTCAAGCATAACATTCATTAGGAGACATGGAGGCTGTTTTCACTTAATAGCATCAAATCATGCATTAATGAATTAATGTATGATTTGCAGGGGCACACACCAGGCATAATACATAGCCTCCACCCAGATGAGAGCCAGTGTGGTGTAGTGGTTAAGAGCATGGGACTGGGACTCAGACAATCTGGGTTCTAGTCCCCATTCAGCCATGGGGCCAACTGGGTGACTTTGGGCCAGTCACAGACTCTCAGCCCAACCCACCTCACAGGGTTGTGTTGTGGGGATAAGATGGAGGAGGAGATGTAAGCTGCCTTGAGCCCTTTGTAGGAAAAGACAAGATATACCTGAAGAAGCGCTTACATCCATATATGCCCGGCCGCCCCGAGATCGGCGGGAGAGGCCCTTCTCCGAGAACCCTCCGTGAAAGAAATTAGGAGGGTGGGTACTCGGAGGAGGGCTTTCTCTGCGGTGGCGCCTAAGTTATGGAATGCGCTCCCCAGAGAGGTCCGCCTGGCGCCGTCGTTATTTGTTTTTCGGCGCCAGACGAAGACCTTTTTATTTAAGCGGCATTTTAACTGTTAGTATTACTAGATTTTATCTGGCCAGGGTGGCTTATTTTATATTGTATTTTCGTATTTTTAATTTAATGTTTATATTTATTGTAATTTATATTATAATTACTTTTAATTTCTTGTTGTAAGCCGCCCCGAGACTTCGGCGAATGGGGCGGCATAAAAATGTTTTAATAATAAATAAATAAATAAAAATTGAAAAATAAATAAATAAATAAATAAAAACTAAATTGGGCTAATCAAGGACAAGGCTTCTACATGATGTCAGCACCCAAACATTAAAGGTTAACTGTGGGTTAAACAACGTACTTTTAACCCAACTTCTGATTATAGGCGAATCACTTTTAACCCAACTTCTAATTATAGGCGAATCACCACAATCAGCATATACTGTTGATTGATGTCAGATAATAGTCAGATGTCATGTAGCAATCCTTGACCAGTCAAATGAGGAGCTAGATACTTAAAATGGCCAAGAATGTCATCTGCCACATTATGCTATTGTTACTGGAGGAAGCACAAAACCTGCATTCATAGTTCTTGATTATCATTCTTCCATATCAGCACATACCACTGTCACTGCTGCTAGAAGAATCCACATTTTCCTCATTGTTGTCATCCTCCTCTTCTGAGTAGAACCCTTCAGTGCATTTCTCTTTGTCTGCCTTCCCTAATATTGAAGTCCATTCTTTTTTCTGTTCATAAACGTAAAGTGTATTTTGTTAACAAATGCAAATCTTACCATTTTAACACTATATGCCATTTTTAAAAAGCAGACATGTAGGAGCACATGCACAGCAATACAGAAGCAAACTTCAAACAGAAGTACACAGTAACGGAAAATATACGGATGCTTACATTGTTTATTATAAATATTTGTGTCCTACTCTTCAGTTAAAATTATCTGGTAACATACAATTAAAAGTGAAACCACTTTCTACCACTACAAATAAGTGGGAGCAAACTGTTAGTTCTTCCATCTTTATTTTGGAAAAAGAAGAAAAAGAGGGTGACAGAGAGAAAGCGAGTCAGCACTAACAAAATGAATCATTCTGAACAAAAATCCTGTTTAATAGAAATAATTCAACATGAGCTCCGTTTTTGTCTCTATTCTAGCAACCCATCTTTTTTGGAGAAAGGAGTCTTGGTGTCTGGAGGCAGGAAACCAATATGATTATGCCAGTTTGCCAAAGGCTTCAAATACCTGCCTTGATTGCATCCACACTTTCATCAACACAAAACTTCAACTATCAGGATACACTGTGGGTTGCCATTTCTGAACAATGTCAAAGTGGTCTCATTTAAGCCTTTTATGAGCACTTTGGTGGCACTGCTCATGATGGTAAGGAGGAAAGATGTATCAGCAGTTACAGTTACAGTTATTGAGGAACAGCTATCCTTTTTTGTTGTCTGCTTCTCTTGAAAAGCTACAAAATATTCATATTAAACTTGGGCACTGAATAAATATCTAAAAGTACTCAAATATCAGCAACCAAAGGTGGAAGTAGGCTGACTGATGTTATATTAGGAAGATACACTGAGCACCAGTGGAAAAAATATGAAAGGACTGAAAGTAGTCATCTACAGAAGAAAGGCCCATTCTGTGACATATCCACTGCAACCCACTTAAAATCTTTATGTTTAGAGACCCAAATCCCAGCTTGCAAAATAATAAAATATTATTTTGAAAAGTCTACGTACCGACTCAATTACTTCTACATTTCTCACTGAAGGGTCAGGGGCAATCTCTGGCCAATTAGACAATTCCAGGTAGCCACTGGCTTTCATGTTCAGGGTATGAGACAAAGTACCAAGCTGGAAATGCTCCCTATCTATTGGGGGATGAGAACAGGAAAGAGGTGAAAAATATAGACATGAGCTCTATATCACAAAGAGCAATCTTAATCAAAACTAAAGGTAATTGGCGTTACATTACCCAAAATGTCATGGAATAAATATAAACTAGGAAGCTCTTCATAGGTCAAAAAACTGATTCTAGTCCATAGATTACAATAATCTCCCCCATAATGGTCAATAAAAAAGCTAATCAGTCAGTGTGTTTAGAGGTGTTGCTCTGAAATGTAGCTTCTCTAAAAATTACTTTACTGTGAATATTAAGAATGACAGCACAGTTAAATAATCCATATACATGTCTTGGCACAAACACATCCAGAATTTTAATAGTTTTCCTTCAGAAGGAGTGCTGCTTTCTGAGTATAAAGCAGGATTAAAATACCAAAGTATGGGAAAATTTGGAATGTACATAAAATAGTAAAATTACTACTCAGGGCTATACCATTTTAAAAATGAAGTAATGAGGGCATGGCAAAATATGCTTGTTTTTGACATTGCTTGGGAGAAAAATGCCACTAATTGTGGCATACTGACAGAAACTACAGATGGAAAGACTTCAGTATAATGTTTCTTAGTAAAAGTAATAATTAAAAGTCACATGTGAAGTTACAGATCTTGTGGGTGTCTAAAGATCATTCTATGCTATCGTTCTACACTAAAATACCATTCTACATTAATGAACATTATTAGTCTAAAATGTAGGTTATTATTCAAACAAAATCATACTATATGCACAAGCAGAGCTTTTACTTCATTGCTGATCACCAGACTTATACGTAAATATCAAAAGAGAAAATAACATGTAGTATTGATCACTCAGTCTCAAAAGACTAAAAACAGAGAAGCTTATCACTCATATATGAATTCTTAAGTTGACCAATTGGCAATATAAGTTTTGGTAACTTAAATATACAGACTATAGATATGCATATCCTTAATTAAGATTTGGTAGAAATACAGTAAGTGACATACCTTTAAAAGGAGACTCAAGCATTGGGGCAGGCTTCTGGGCCAGAAATATTTTTTTGGCATATTTGCTTAAAGCTCCACTCTTTTCGTTTGGAACAATGAGCTGCCTAATAAATCTTGTACGGTCTCTGATGTCGTAGCTTTGATCATACTTGCCGAGATTTAATATGTACTGGGTAAGCAATTTTGTCTGTGAAAAACAGAACAAGAAGAGAATACAAGTTATTTATGATTATTGATAACTCTGGATAAACATATTTAAAGAGGTAATAAAAATGAATGGTTATGTCAAACAAATGTTGTTCCATAGGGAATATGCATTTCTAAAGCAGTAAATGGAATTTTGAAGCCAAAGCACATGTCCTCTTCTGAATTGGGGAGGTGAATGCTGAGTACTGAGAAGCAGCCATGTGCTAGATTATTAAACTGCTGAAGTGGAAAGAAAGGCATCATTAAAAAAATAATCATATATGGCAAATCCGCTGAAGGGCCTGCGTGAGAATAATGAATGTGGAAATACAACTAAAAACATGGCACTCAAAACTTAATCGGAAAAATATGCAGGACATCAAAACATCAGAGGGTATTAGGAGGCTGGCAAACTGCTTCTGCTGAGGTGTGTTTTATGAAGAGATACTGTCCCTGGCATAAGCAGTGTCTGCACTCTGACTGCACTCAGTTACTTTACTCTGAATTATGACCCATTAAAGCAGACACATGAATCACTGAACTGGATTACTGCAAATTATTTGCAGTGCATTTAGCTGTTACTTTTTCATAAAAGCAAGCTGCTGATGCCCTCTAAAAACCAGGATAAAAGACTTCTTCTATTTTACCCCTCACAGCTTAAAGCTTCTGGTAATATTGGTCATTTATTTATATACGCAAAAGCAAGTTATATTATCACAGATTTTTACAGCATAACCAGATTCTCTAATTTGATGCGTAGGAATATTAATTATTAAAATTACTCAATGCACAGTAAATTTAAATTTTTGCAAGCAGAAAATTGGAAACATAAAAATAGCCTGCTGAATACATTTTATATCCTGTTCAGTAAATGTCTACAAAAATGCCATACATGCAAAGATGAAAACACTGCATCCTTTAAAAGCAAAACAGGCAAATAATGATATTACTTTAGGTTGAGAAAAGCTACAAATAATATTTGTGCTGAAAAATCTTAAGACAACAACATTCCAACACACAATTAAACTGATGTATAAGCATATTCTTTATCAACAAAATTTATATTGAAAAGGTACAATCTACTTGTATGAACTTTGCTATGAAATACAGTAGTTCTATTCTCTTGCTACTCCATAATTATGCCTACAGAATGTTAAACACTATCCAGTATAATTGGACAATATTTCTTTGAAATTATCTAATAGTTATGAAAGATCCTTGTAGTTTTAATATGCAGTACTTTATTAAGATACTGTTCTACAAATGGATAATTTTATAAGGTTGTTTTGAGTGATCTGCTTTAACTACCAAACTGTACTTAAATGGGGCCAGTTCTATAAGACTGTGTCTGCTAGAGATTATAGAATACTGAGGCAAGTTGGGAATTTCAGTGCTTTCCAACACAGAAACACCAACTACAGATTGCTGAAATAGTTACTGAAACCCACCAAGTTTACTTGTCCTTGCCAGAGCTACTGCATATGATAAAACCCTGAATCCTGAGTTGTTGACCTGTGGGTTCTTGCTATATTTGCAAACACTGCACAATGGTTTATAATTCAACAAATTTATGTTTTTCCTGGCCTATTTAGAGAAGGCCAGGCAGTGAGACCATTTGTCAGTCCTATGCCCCTCCCCGAAGCAGAGGAGGCATAGGTCATGCGGGTCGGTTGGAGACATCTTAGACCCGTATTCTGCGCATTTGTGGAAAGCTGCTTGCTGCACCATTGCAAGAAAGGAAAAAATAGGAGATAGTACAGAGGGTAAGAATATATTTTTGGTTTTTTGTTTTGTTTTTATAGAAGATTGAAGAGAACGTAGAACGATAGAGAACTATGAAAAACTAACAAGAACTATAAGAACTATAAAAACTAACAGGGCTATAACAACTGGGAGAGAACAATCGAGAACAAGCTAGACGAGCAATGGTCAGAGCAAGAGCGAAAGCGGCACAAGGCACAGCGAATGGTGGTCACAAAGACTGAACAAAATGGCGGATGCTCCGCTCTTTATAGGCTATGTGGGAGGGGGAGCGGAGCTTTCCCGCCAAAAACCATTAGCTTGCAATCTCCAGCCAAAGGCACTGCGCAAGCACAGCACCCCATATGAATGATGCACAGAGGCCATGCCAAAGAATAATGAGTTGTTGACCTGTGGGTTCTTGCTATATTTGCAAACACTGCACAATAGTTTATGATTCAACAACCCAGGAAGAGAACCCATTGTTTATTGTTGGGTTGTGAAGTTTAAGGTTGTCTGGGTTCCATTTCACAGCGCTCAAAGAGTCTCATGGCAGCTATGTTGAAGGCTTCTTGCTGCAGAGTGCAAAGAACTTACGTTATTTACTTTTTTTACATCTGCTATTCATGAACAGAGAGCCAGTGTGCAGCGTAGTGGTTAAGATGCTTGGTCTTAGCAGTACTGAGAGGGATAAGAAGGAATCTGTGTTTAGTAGATGGGGCAGGGGTTCCCACCAAAAGTTTCTCATCTATCTCAGCTATGAGAGCTTCCTGAATTGAGGCTCCAACCAGGCACAGAGCCCATATATGTGAATGGCACAGATGACTGGTTTGTTGTTGTTAGTCACGAAGTCGTGTCTGACCCATCGTGACCCCATGGACAACATTCCTCCAGGCCTACAGTTCACATCATCCCTCACCATTGTCTTTGTTGGCTAGCACTGCTGGAAACTGTACGGATACAAAATACCTGGAAGGATACAAGTTGCTCACCCTGATATAAAACATTGCTATTTCAAATTATCTAAATGTAACACAGAGATATCATTTTAAAATAATGTATATTTATTTTAAACAAGACAACCAAAAGAAATACATATGTTAAATTTTGATCATTTGAAGAGTGTACATGCAATTATATGTATACACACAAACAGGTTTTGGAACACTCCTTAAGGTGACAACTAGTATCTCAGATTCATCACCAGAATTCTAGATTGTCCTCTCAAATTCCTCTGTATCAGAGAATAGGATTCCCCTCAGGATTGTTTCCCTGTGCTTGTTAGGACTATGTATTGATCTTAGAGCTCAGCCCACTCCTTGTCTACAGAAATGCCAAAAATGATAGGAAGTCTATAGCTTTCCATCATGCCACAGTCTTGGTGCCCCTTTCAAGTTACTTCTTTTGAAGGAATGGCTGACATCTGCCAATTTGAAATCTCATAATTTCTGTTGTAATTCCTACCAGGTTCTTCAAGTCAAGCAAGGGAATTAGATATACTTCCTGTCTTCCAACATGATAGGAGCAGTGAAGCTATCCTAAACAAAGCTTGGTGCATGAGGCATAGCCTTCAAGACTTAGCTCTCAGCATCAGTTTTTGATTATTATTGCATTACATTTATACCCCACTTTTTCTCTTCATGCAAGGAATCCAAGGCAGCTTACAAGGTTCTTTTCTTCATGTTATCCTCACAGCAACAACCCTGTGAGGTAGGTTATGTAGGGAATTCATTGCTCATCCAGCATCACTCAGGGAACTTAATGGCTGAGTGGGGACTACAGCCTGAATCTCCCAAGTTTTAGTCCAACATTCTAAGCACTACCCTATATTGGCATTGACATTCCAAACAAGGATTGCCAAAAAGAAACAAACTACCATCTTTGTACCAACTACCGTTCCAAAAGTCTTCATGTCAGATAAGTATCTTCTCTACTACATCCCCATGTAAAGCAGTGGCATTCAAGTTTTAGTACCATATTTTTATGGATTGAGTTGTATCCATTCATTGTATATTTATTCACTGTACATTGCACATATGTAGTTTTAGACACCATATAGGTGTGCACTCTTTCCTAGTAAGTATTTCTTTCAGACTTTAGTCACAATTTTGGATTCCCCTTTTCTTTTTTTGGTCATTTTCTTAATAAACTTTGGGTATTTGAATAATTTTTGAGCTAAGGAACATTCAGAGGAGAAAAAAGCAAAGAATTATGACTAACTTCAAAACACAGTGATGCTTCATTTTAAATCACAACAGGACTAAACAGATTGGTGGTTTTTCTTCAGTCTTACCTGTTTTGAGTTGGTTAAGTATAATTTTGCTCCAAGATTTAAAATTTGCAGTTTTACAAGGTCATCTTCTACAGTGAAGCTCTTGGCCATTTTTCTTAGAACATCAGGGGCTATCTTTGGAACTCGTTCACAGTATTCTCCTGTAAGCCAAAGAATGCTGGCCCTTGCCACAGGGACCTTAAGCAAAACATGAGTTGAAACAGTTGATGCAGTTAGGAAATACATTTGAGAAGTATGCTTGCTTCTCTAATGGTATGTAAGTAAATACCTACCAAATGCATACCTGGAGGTAGCAGGAGGCACAAGTAAGAGACCTAAGCATTTAAGTGTTCCATTTAAAGAAGCCTTCTATTTCCAAGAGGTCCTAGCCTATCAGTAGTAACCTTTTCCTTAAAAGGTGTCCAAGCACTTAGAAGTTAAATAATTAAAACAGTTAGATGAGAGAGTCAGTGACCAGGTTCACAGATCAAGGCAGCAAATCACCCATGTATAGATGCTGCTTGAGACTCTCAAAGAACTCCAATAGGTTAGTGGGACAAGAGTTCCCCCCTTGTGGAAGCCATGCTGAGTTTTTCTCATCAGAACATGTCCCTCTATGTGCTTCCTGATTCTGTCTTTAATTATGTTTCAAGCAGTTTACCCAGAAGAGATGGTAAGTTAACAGGCCTATAATTTCCCAGATCCCGGAATCCTTTTTTAAAAATGGTGTTACATTGGCTATTCCCCAATCCTCTGGTACAAGGGCTGTTTTTAGAGACATATTAAATATTGTGGTCAGCAAATTCTTTAAGGTATGAAACTACCAGGGAGTCCTCTGGAAATAGTGGCAACTGCATATAATATATATGTAGTCTTTGGATCTTGGCTATTGTTAAACTACTTTGTATGTGTGACTCAATAATGTTACATAAAAGACTTATAATTAATGCACTCCTTTGGTTCAGTGATCCCATTATGACTTGTATTAATATCCTGTATTATCCTCAATGACAGTAACTCAGAAAATATTTCTAATATTTTTTTTTAAAAAACAGGCTTATTAGAAACAGCTTAGCTTTTGGTCACCAAATGCTAGCCTAAATAGAAATATCCAATTATATCTGCATGATAGGTTCTGTTCAACATCTTTTGGAAAGAGTTCCATGGTTGTGCGACAGAAGTCAGGGTTATCTTGATGAATTACCTTGCCACACAAATAAAATGAACAGATAAAACCTGTACATAACAGCAACACAAGGGGAGGTGACACAGGCAGGGTGTGATGCATCCTGGGATTGAATTTCAGGCAGAGTGGTTGATGGGATACATGCTAACAGTGAGGAGACTGAGCAGGGAGGATGAAACCATGATAAAGTAGACACCACTTAATTACCTATCAAGTATATCATGGTTTTAAAAAATGTGAACCATGGTGACCATGAGTTGTGTGATAGTAGCCTCATAGTTCAGTCCATGCCAAAAATCAGTCAAGGCAAGAAAAATGGATTAGTGTTATTTCCAGCAACTCTCAGTTTTACATTGCTGGTTTTCTACATAGGCTGTCAGAGCCACACCCAAGCTTCAGCTGTGATGGCAGCTGAAAAGGTCCTCCTTGTGAACAAGTCTCCTACATATGAGTAGACTTTTTCTCAAAGGGAAGCCCCTTCCCTCAGTTTTAGCACACCTTCTGGGTTCCACTCTTTCCAGAAGGCTTGGAGTTGGTTTCTCTGCCTTTACCTCTGAAGCAGAGTGTTGTCTTCCGCATGTGGTGCCCTCATGTTGGTCATTTTTGAAGCCTGTACTATTTTCTTGTAGTCTGACAGACACAATTTAAAGTTCTGAGTTTGATCCATAACCTTCCAGGTGATCTGGTCCTGCAAACCTTTGACAGCATCATGTCTTGTGTGATAATTCAGATCAGCTGAGAAATGCTGAACTGTGCTATGACCTTTTTCACATGTGAATAGCAACCAAGGGTTCACAATAATTTAAATCCAGATTTATGGGTTAACTATGGGTTGTTAACCATGACCAACTCTCAAAGAAAACCTATATTGTATTGTTGTGTTATCTGTTGTGAGTTGTTTAAGCCACAAACTGTTGTTACATCTAAGACTAGCATCAAGGTTCAGATCAGGGAACCTGATGTGCTAAAACAATTAGGCAATATTATTAGAGAGAATGCTGTGATCTCTTCTATGCTAAACATAAATGTGAAAGGAAGAAACTATCTGAAGTCTAGTAACTACCTGGGAAGGACCAGAAACAGTTGTTTTCAAGAATCTCACACATGTTCCACCTTTCCACCATGAATTAGTATACTAATCAGTACAGAGATACTGTCTATGTAAAGATATGGTCTATCTGAATAGAAAGAAACACAAATCCCTTGAAATATAGAACCTTGTAATTAGAATGCATTTCAAGTTGCATATGTCATGATACATTTTCAACTAAATGCTGTAGGGTATGCTTTTTCACTTTTTAAAAGGGATTAAATAAGATTACTTAGAAAAAGATTGATACCCTAACCTCTGAAGACAGGATCAGAATCGAGTTTAATCTCATTATGACATCTGTCAGCCACCGAGCCAGGAAGGAGAAAAACATGTCCGGCTCTGCTAGCACATGCTGCTCAGGTCCACATGGTGCCTTCTTTTTCCTGTCTCACATATGCTGCTTGTGTGCAGCCACATTTCCTTAGTTACCCATGCTGTACATAAATTGCCCTATCATCCAAACCCAGCAAGCTGAGTCACAGGGGTGACTTCCAATATATCCTGAAAACCATGGCTTCTTGTATGATTCCATGGCAATTTTGTAAACCGCCCCTACCACCACCCTTACTAGGTTCAGACAATATGGCAAATCTGTACCTGGCACAAGCAGTTATAGAAATGAGGTGGCATATGACTGGCATGCATGAATGTGGCAGGGAAAAGAACTCATCACAGGGTTTTTTTCCCTTCCCCAATCATGGAAAACTGACCACTGAGAAACATCAGTAACTCTACTGAAGAAATCCAACAAAAACACCCCTTGATGTTAAGGAAAAATGAACACATATGGATACAATGACTTGATGTCTACTAAAGTCTACTAAGTGGGAATGCTGCCAAAACTCAAAATTAGGTGGAGCATTTGTAGAATCTGTTATGTTAGTAATCCCTATTAGTAATACTGAACTTAGACATTCTTGTTATTAAAACTAAGATTAAGACTGTCCATCCAGTTTGCATGGCTAAAGATTCTAAACTGTCATTTCTACACATATCCCAATGTTTGTTTAATCCTTTACTGAGGAAAATGTAAATGTCCTGTTTCCAACACAAGTGGAATGATGCCACTTAACCCTTTAGTAAAATATTTTATTTTTGAAAACCAAAGGAACAGTCATGAAGATTTGTATCTACCCCTTGTTCAACATTCCTTTTTTCTGTCATGGTTTTGCTTCCTCTCTGTATCCAGCAAGTCAACAAAGCCATTTCTCTTCAGTATTGCACATTTTTTCCTTGTTTGGTAAACATAGTTTACTTTAGATATGGGTGCTAGTGGGAGGCACTGTGAGGGGTACTTGAAAAAGAAAATAAGGGAGAGGAAGCTGAAAGAGGAGCAGGGCAGCTGCTGGGCAAGAAGATATTGCAGATGGAAGTGCCTCTTCAAGAGCTGCAAACAGTGCAGCTCATACCAGCTCCATGCTAACTGTAGTACAAACAGTAGGGTATATGAAGAGAATCAGAGGGGATGTTATGATGTATAGCTTGATGCCATACTACAGTTCTGAATATGTACTCTCTTGCTGTTCATTCACAACTATTTGTATATACAGACGATTTCAGAATAATGGAGAATTTTCATCCAAGATTAGATGGGGGATTTCCTAACTCAATAAGCAAATTAAAATTTCTGTAAGGTTAGGGTTGGCCCACCACTACTAATAAGAATTAGTATTAGTATTAGCTTCTATTTCTCTAAGGATTCACAGAACCAAATATTAATTGATTCTGTCCACAATGTCACTAAATCTGAGCTGTTCAGTACTCACAGAGCCTCTGGCCTCATGAAGATTTTCTGTTTGACTATTAATAATCAGAGCTTCTCACTCCAGAAAGCAAGGACTACCTCACTTCATATGATGCATTAAGTGAACATGCCCGGCTACTATACACATGGCTCCAAATGGTATCCATACGTCATACGACTGCACAGAAAAAGACCTTGTTATATTCCCCTGAATGACTGCCAAAGGGACCCTCCCCCACTATGACAAAATCTTACAGAAAAACTGATTATTAGTCTAATTCTAAATATAACAACTGCAATACTGCAACAGTATTTAAAACTTTAAAACAGGTTTAAAACAGTGACAAACCAAAAAGATGCACTGTTCATCTATTATGCTGAGTTTTAAATGCTTGAGTACATTTGTTAAATGAGATATGGTAAGACTGAGTATCATTAGTATACACTAGGAAAGGGGTTATTTCTAATGTTCCAAAGGTTACGCTGCATTAAGACCTTACTCCCAAGCTATCATTTTTAAATTGGGCTAAAGAATAGTAATTGAGTGTTACACTGAATTTTCAATATTGATGCCTATGTTGCCTGAAAAATATTGAAAATACATCTAAATAAATTATGCTAAGACATATAATATACATGTATTTAAGTGTTACAGTTCTACCACATGTTGCACATTTATTTATTACATCTCTTTTCTGCCCAATGACCAATGTTCTCTGGAAAGATTACTAAAATACCATCGAAACAGTTAAAAGTATGAAATACAATGGGACTATGTACACGAATAAAATACAGTACAATGCATATGACACAAGTTTCTAGAAATGGGAAGAAGCAAAAGCTCTAAAATGTTCTAAAGATACGCTCTTCGCAGGCTCCATTTATAGAACCAGAGGAGAGCTTGTGAACCACACAACTGCATATTCACATCAATATATATGGCTCTCTTGTAACAAGTAAGAAAATAACACCTCCTTACAGGTCTTCCTTTTCATTCGGCCTAAGCTAAATAGTTGGTATGTAAATAGTAAAGATTAGTTCAAGAGGAAGAGGTCACAGTCTTAGCCATAAGACCTGAAAACAAGACTTACTGAACTAAATAGGGCTTACTTTTGAGCAGACATACAGGGTTGCACTGTGGTTAGCTGAACTTAGGTCCCATTGATTTCAGTGGTATGTAAGTTTAACTAACTTACTTGAAAGTCAGTCCTAAGAGTCCTATGCAACAGTATTTAGCATTGCCACCAATCACTTCAAGGAAAGGTGCAAAAATCCTGAGAAGGTGGTTGGAAACAGTTTTAGAATGGAAGAAGGTGAACAATCTGAAGCTTAATCCAGACAAGATTAACATACTTTAGATGGGAAATTCTTCAATCTAAATGAACAATTTCATCTGTTATTGGGCTGAGTTACACCCCTCCTTAGGCACCACATTGATAGCTTGGGGGTCCTTCTGAATTCATGTGACTGCAGAAAAACAAGCAGCAGCAGTAGCCAAGAGTGCTGTTGATATAACAGCCACAACACTATCTAGGGAAAGTGGAGTTAGACTATTACACATTGCCTAGTCACATTCAAAATGTAACTGTAAAGAGCTCTATGTGGGGCTGACTTGGAAGATAATTCAGAAACTTCCAGTGGTACACATATTGGCTCCTCAAATTCTCATCAGGGCCAAACAATCAGATCCTATTATATCACCCCATTGCCAGGGGCACTGGATGCAAGTGCATTTCTGGGCCAAACTGACTTTTCAAGCTCCTTGCAAGAGGAAAAAAGGCAAGATATAAATGGACAATGAAAATAATAATAATAACTGTAATAAAAAGAAAAACAGGTGCCAAACCTATTTAGCTCCAGCATCTGCTGGAGGTCACTGCATCTTGCATGTGCTTATGCACATACAGGAGTAACAGGGCAGGGGGCATGTAGCTTCTTCGCACCTCTGAAAATATGCTGTAGAGGGATTTTGAAACAGACATTCAGAAGACACAAGCAGCTGCAGAAGGACAAGGAAATCAGCAAAAGACACATGCCCATCAGTGGAGTGTCTCTAGCCAGAATTCTTTGTAGAAGCAAAACTGAGATAATCCTTTGTTTCCCAGTTCTTTGTACACTTTTCATATTTTAAATATCCACACACAGCTAAGGAGACATGACACGGTGCTGAGGCCTTCATTGGCTTTTCTGGTTTTGTATAAGTAATGATCTTGAATTTACAAGAACACAGGAAATAATACATTCATTATATACCCTCTACTTTGCATTGTTCTCAATGGCCAAACAGAATTGGAAATGTCATTGTGATATTTTATATTCTGGATAGCTTGTAAGAGTGGTTAAGTGCACTTTTCAAACCTTTGTGTAAGAAAGCGGTTTTTGAACCCATTACTTTCTGCAAAAAAACAGTGTAATGAAACCTCAGTTTTTCAAAGCAGTTAAAGACAGACATGTAGAAAGATTTTGTTGTTTGAAATGAGTCTGTTTTGAAAGCTTCTGTGTTTCAATTGCTCATAGTATACACCACTAAAGTACATTCCATTTTATTTAGATGTTTTTCAGTGAAGGAAACAGGCATCTTATGTAAGTAGCAAACAAGATTTAATGTTTGTCCTACAAAACATACAATATGATTCATATTTTAGCTAGGAGATGTAGTGATAAAAAGGAGTAAACCTGATACGTTTGGGTACACATTGTAATTCTTCATACCAGGACCCAGACTCAGAACCTAAAGATCTGAATCATCCTACTACGTCATGTTTTGTCCACAAGATTTCTTATGTCACTTCTATGCCACTCTATTGCAATATAACCCGAAATCTTGTTTCAACATGATAAAGCAGGACTGAAAGTCCTACAAATGACTACAGCCTGAATTAACTGTGACTTAAGTTTACATGAATACATAGTCATTCATTTTGTAAGTTGTTTAATGTAAACAAGACTAAAGTAAAACTCCTTGGTGATACTAAACTTTGTTTTACTATCTATCCACAAATGTAGCCAAAACTTATTTTGTCCCCATACTGTGTATCCTAGTATTTCTCTTTCAAGTTTAGATTTCCCCAAATTATTTCAGCATCTAAAATGTAGAATCATATAAATACTCACAGTAATACTGTCCAAGAGCTTGGCCATACGTTTAATTATTTCACCATGGTGTGCTGGCTGTGTTTGCAGCAGTTTCTTAATGACAACTACACTTTCAGCAACTACTATTTCTAGTAAAGACAAAAATAAAGCATTATGTTGCCATAAGTTTTGTGTCATGCATCACATTCAATTTACTAAAAGTAAGATATTATTAAGACATTTCATAGCTTATTAGCATAATGGACACTCTGGGTTGTTCAGAGTTGAATACCTAGAGCAGGGGTCGGCAACCTTTAACACTCAAAGAGCCATTTGAACCCATCTCCCACACAAAAGAAAACACTGGGAGCCGCAAAACCCTTTTGACATCTAAAATGAAGATAACACTGCATATATCGTTTTTTACCTTAATGCCATGTACACCTTCATTATGATTTAGCTGCAGCTCTTGTTCAGTCACTAAAAACTGTTATTTTTAATCTTATATTATAAACTAGTAGGGCTCCTTTCATATATTTTGAATAGGAGAACAGCTTCCTGAAGAGTCAAAGTCAGTGCTATAGGGCTGCATGCATTAAACAGAAAACCCGATAAGTTCGTCAGCAGTAAAAGCAAATGAATCTACCCACGTATCATTAAACATTTGGTTTTCTTCAGAAACTTTTCTTCGATCAGTAAATCAGGGTGGAACCGCAGATCGGGTGGCTGGCTGTGCCAGAGATATAGGTGTGTTTAGTGACTGATTAGCAGATAAACAGTCAAGTGCTGTGAATTGTGACAGGTCCCAAGTGCAGCTTTTAACATTCAGATGAAGGAGATTACATTGGGACAAAGAGAATCTTTTCAGCAGTGTTTCTCCAGTTTGTGTAACATGAGAGCCTGCCAGGAAGCTTGTTTAGCAAAGGAATGTAGCGATTTACTTAACTAGCTCATTTACTTAACTAGCTAGCGCTGTGTTCCTGAGTGGAGCTTCAGCGTGTTTTGAGCGACAGAGCTGCAGCAGAGGGATTCAAGAGCCATGTGCGGCTCCGGAGCCACAGGTTGCCGACCCAACCTAGAGTAAACCATGATTTCCTGTTGAATTAACTCTGGGTTGCTAATCCAGAAACAACTTGGAGTGTCCAGGTTCATGGCTTGACTGTAGATTATTGATAGAATCTGGAAAGTGAGCCATGTGTTAGAAGAAGCGAATGTGCCTTCAAACCAGTCCAATATCAGTTAGCGTCAGACATTAGTGTTCAAATGTTAAGACACATCTCCTCAAGCAAAATCAGGGAGCCATAAAGGTGCAAGAAGTTAGTTCCTGAAAACCTTTATATTCCATCCTCAAAGAAATGATTTGTTCTTATTTTATATTCAGTTTTAATACTTGAATTTCCTCCTATATATTCAAAGGCATGATAATACAAAATGCTTAAACATGCAATGGTAAACCCATAATAAAAGCTTGGCATTGACCTGCAAGTTGCAAAAATAAATCATATTGATTTGGGTTGGCAATGTTCTAGAAACTGTTATCCATGATTTAGTATCTAATTGTTTAACATCCTTTACCCCAGTTCTAAAAATAAGCTTATAAATTATTAAAGGATACTGATGTTCCAAGATACCTGAATGACTATCCTAAGTAGGGTGGTGGTTCAGCAATTTATACTGATGTTATGTAATAAATTACTTAAATTCCATAACAACAAGCATTCTAAATTTGATCAGGCTAGCCATCACTAAACAAGGTGCTGGGGGAAAACTTTGCAAATACCCTAAACCAACAGAAAGACAAACAAATGGGTCAAGCCGCAACTTTTCCTAGGAGCAAAAATGACAAAATTGAGGATGTTTTAAGTTCAGACACATCAGACACAGAAGGCAATCATGTTAAGGAAAGCTGAAGGCAGAAAATGAAAGGGAAGACCAAATATGAGATGAACTAAATCCAAAAAGGAAGCCACAGCCTTGAACAGAGTTCAGGAGGAGACATAATGGAGGGCTTTCAATCATAGGGTTGCCATATGTCAGACATGAATTGATGGCACCTAACACACACAGGGAGAGGGAGAGGGCCATCACCAAGCTAAACTGTCAGCACATGCACCTACATGGGATAATACCACATGCCTTCATAGTTGAAGATTTCTACTATATATCAGTCTACAAGGATGAAATTAAGCTGCTTTTATAAAAAAAGCCATGGTTAGCTATGCCACTACATGACATTTATAATATCATGTAAATAAACTGCATGGATTTTTATGCAGGTATTAAGCTGAAAAGAAAAGGGTAACCTGCCCAAGGTTTAAACCAATCATACAATAGTGTACTATTGTAATCCCTATAATAGAAAATGCAAGGCATTTTACTTGATCCTTGTTACTATTAACCAGGCTTCTATAAAACTACTCACTGGAGTAATTATGGCAATAATTCTTCCTTCCTTTTGAGTGAATGAGGAGATAATGAGGCTTTCAATGTTTACTATTGTTTGGATAAATAAGCTCAAATTCAAACAGTGTGGAGGCAAGATAGGAGAATGCCCATTCAGTATTTTATCTGTGCTAATCAGTTGGACCTGGGGGGGGGGGGAGTTCAATTAAAAACAAAACTGGGTAAACAGAGATAAGAGTTTGATAATCTCCTTAGGTATGTAATCCTTGCAGTCACTGACAAAAATGAAAATATATATTTGCATTAATGGAATTCCTTCTTCAGCCTACCAGTTAAATGGTAGCACTTATATAAAAGACAGCACCATTCAAGAATTCACTTAAACACATGAGCCCATGCTCACTGGCCCCAACTCCAGGTCTCCAGGTGCAGTGGTCCTGCTTTCCTTTGTTCAGACCTTGCCATGGTGAATAAAGCAAGTTATGAAAGGGAGTTCTGTTCATAATGTCTTGAATGCGAGTAGAACTCTCCATGTAATTCAGAACCTTGATAAGGCAGGATCTGTGATCATGCAGAGAATTCTACTCATGCTGCAACAAATGCAAGTAGAACTCCCTTTCAAATCTTACCTATTCAACATGGCAAGGTCTGAACTGAATGGGGTGCAGCCAGAAATCCTGGAGGCATGGGGTGACAGCAACTAACATGCCTCTAAACGCCTACCCACTTTAATCCCACCCTTCAACTGAACAGGGCTTAATTAAAAGTGAAATATTGCATTTTAGTAGGCTGAAGAAGACCTACTGAAAAAAATACAATTTACTAGTTGAACCTAAGCATTTAGAGATTAAAAATAACTGAGCTGAATGGAGCTTCCAACTAAGTAAGCTATGCACAGGATTGCCGTCCTGTGTTTTTGTCTAGTCTTTATACTACAGAACTCTTCCATTAGTCCTTCAGTTTTGTAGTGCAATGTCTTAAGCCAGAAAATTAAAATCGGCAAAATCAACTTATTCTCACATTTTGACACTTGTGTCATAAAAAATAAATGATGCTTAGTATTTCAGTGTATCTAAAACATATGTATTTATTTGAAAGAAAAAACAATAGTCCTAAAAATATAAATTAATAAAATATTGTTGAAAGCTATGTAATGAATCACTAATTAAAATAAAGTATAATATGTTCATTGTCCTAGATAAAGCGTGCCTGTGAAATTCTACATCTTACTCAAAAGTAAGCCCCATTCCTTTAAATGGGGTTTACCCCCATATAGATATGCATAAAATTTTAGCCTGGACAGCAGTTTTTGAAGTTGTCTATATTCCCTAAACAATATATAAATTGAACTGTGTTTTAGAGCAAGGGTAAGCAAGCTGGTATACTCCAGATGTTTTAAACTATAACTCCCATCAGTCCAAACCAGGAAGGCCAATCTTTAGGATTTATGGTAATTATAGTCCAGAACATCTGAAAGACATTAACTATCTACCTTTGGTTTGGAATTTAGACATAATTTTTTAAAACCTGTGGTTAATTTGGACTTGATCAGCAAAATGAGAATTGTAGAAGAATTTCATAATGTATGCAACTAGTAAAGCCAAATATTTTACTCTGAAGTAATATGCATACAGACCGTTTTGGAAATCACTTAAGGAATTGTTTATTTCCTTACTAATGTATTTTTAAAATACCCCATGTAGTTATAATATATATTTTCATTTCCCTTTGTAAGTAATTGTTTTACCCATTTCCATAATTCACCATTCCAATTTTTCTTAGCTTACATTTAACTTTTTATCAGTAGCTAATAGAAAATATTTATAACCTCAACTAATAGGGTTGGGAACAATCTTTGGAAATCAGTCATATGCTGTACTCATGAAAATGCTAGTGGAGTGGGTAGAGGTGATTCTCAGTTTTGGAGAAGCTTAATTCAATCCTACATACAGAGATATGAAGCATAGTCAAAAATGTAACATTATTTCCAGGCACTGCAGTTCTTCTGAGAGAACCGCACTATCACTCATCTATCCAGATGACCTATCAGGGGCTATTCTGTTATATCTTCTGTTGCAGTATCCCCTATTCTTTTCAATGTGGAATCAGAAAGCAAATATTTGCTTGAGAGAAGGATACTAAATCAAAGCGCTTGCTTTTACTTTCCTTCTGCAAATCTTAAGTTGCTTTTCCCAGAACCTGGGTTCCAGAGCCATGAGTGCAATGGAGCTGCAGAGGAAAAGTGGCAAATGGAAGAACCTGTCAATCCAACTGAATTTATCAATGGCATTTGAACATAAAAAGTATTAACTGAAGGTTAAAATAACAATAAAACATTAACTAGACATCTGATTGAAACGACACATTTACCACATTTTTCCTTCTGCAGGATTTGAACCACTGAAATGTTTTTTTGTAAGATTTGTGTAGCATTGGCTTTCACGATATTTGCACCTCAAAGTTTTATTAGTGTCTGTAATTTCCTCTATTTTTATAATAATTCAGAGGAAAATAAATTATAAATATGCATAGATTTACCGCTGACAAACTGTTTGATATGCACTCTTATTTAGCTACTTACACACGTAAAACCCCCACATTTCCCTGCTTGTAGCACCCTCTGCAGTACAGCTACTTAAATGCAAGTAAGGGGAAAAAATCACTGTTTTCAGTAAAAACACAGCATTCCATGAATTTCAATGCTAACCTTCTGAGAAATTTCAGTTATCAGTATTAACTATCCACTGACATTTACCCATACTAATATTTATTTTTAAATGGAAATCACTGTAAAGAGCTACAAAAAAGGAAGTATAGACAAATGCTACCATTTGTCCAGAACACACACCACAATTCAATATACTGTTTAATCCACTGCAGTCTGGGAAATACCACCAGAGAATATAACAGATCAGTCACTCAAACACAAAATAGAACAATTAACTTACCATCCCTGTTGGACAGCAAACATACCAGGCCGTTAAGGCATGTGTCAGTCACTTCTGAGATGTTGGTTGCACATCTGCCTATCGCCTGAATTGTAGCTGCAGCAAATTGTTTATCTTGGCTTTTCACATAGGTCTGAAGAAAACAGGAATTGCTGTTGTCAACTTATTGGCCACATTAGTTTAACAGAGGCATAACGCCCTTTTGAAACTATACACAATCTTTTGAATTAATAAATTAATAGGTAAGAGTAACCTAATTCAGAAATAGGGTAACATATTAGCTTTTATTAACCAGTGCCAGGAGGGAGTTTCTCTCTATAGATATTAAGTAAAGGAAGTAACTCAGTGAGGGCAGTTAGTGCAAGTTAAAGAACAGTGTGTTTTGCAAATTATTTTCACAAATATTTCTGTTCACTTAAGGAACAGAATCTGTCTCTTATCCATGGATGAATACACTGAATCAGAGACACTAAAACAATTACTATATCTGAGGAAAACCTGGCTTGTCTTTGGAACAGATGCACATGCGTGGTAGATATTAATATGCTCTGAAACTAATTACCTTAGATCAACAGCAGTGTGTTAATACAGAAAAATCACTACAAGCAAGATAATCCCTTTCTGGTATTCTGAAAGCAATATTCCATAAGTTTGGCCAATCTACAATTTGTAGCAGAATCAAGCCGATCTACTCTAAAAACAAATAATATTGCGTGATCTATGAATCCAAACTTCAAACCTGTTAAAAATTGCTGCTTTTTCTAAGAAGGACCATCTGAAATTGACCCCAGCGTACATCTCAGATGATGTTTCATGCATGCATGCATAAATAAATGAATGAATTAATGAATAAATAAATAAATGGCAAACCTGAAATTCTCTGAGAAGGGTTGATATGTTGGCTTCATTTGCTAAATTAGTTAAGATATCAAGCTGGAAAAGAACGTAAGCTTTTTAGGAATAGCCCATATATATATATGCAATGTAAAAAAACACAGTGTAAAACATTCACAATGATCACTTTAAACCTAACAAAGCCCTCAGAAAATCAAAGTAAAGCATCAAGTACCATAGACCTTCAACAAGTTGAAAAGAACAGTCTCCAAGACTAAGGACATAATTAAATGGAATATCTGCAGTCCTCTGAACTGGAGTATTACAGCCATTCTATTGCAGCTTGGGAGGGGTTTGTTAAAGCCTGCCTCAATGGTCCTCCCAATTTTAGTCATCTAACTGTGGCTCTTCAGAAGAGAAGGGAAGAAGGCTGAAGCACTGCTAGGATAACCTACTCATCTAGCCAGTATTCTCCATTCCTTGGCACCCTAAACCCCTTTTCCAAGGTGGCTGGAGCGGTTCTTCTATGTGGACTGTGAATAACAGGGGGGATCTGAGTGCAGATCCCTAGATCCAGGGTTGTAGCTGTTTTCCAGCCATTTTCCAGCTGTTTTCCAGCTTCATGTCTGGAAATCTGAATAATCCTATAGCCCTCTAGAAGCTAATGGAACATAGAATTGCTGTCAGGAATTAGTATTCAAAACATGTTGTCCAATGTGTACATCCTAAAATGTATACAGATTGTAAGAACTAGCACATCCTATGACTTACAGCCCGTGTTCACTGAAGCTGGTCATACATGGATATTTTCAAACTATTCCTAAATCTGCCAGAAGACCTAGAAAATAAAGCAATATGTCTACACTGCACCATATAGTATGCACTGGACTTGAAGTTTCTTTCTGCATATGGATATTGTCTTTTGCTAATGAAAGTGATGCTTTACGCTACAGTGGAAACTCTGAAACTAATAAGAGTGTTATCTTATTAACTAATATTATTAACTATTACTTATTAACTAATATTAAGTGTTACCTTATTAACTAATAAGATAATAAGAGCATTGGGCCCCTTAAAGACTAGCAAATTAATTGTGGTATATAAACGCTCATGGACTAGAGTCCGCCATAATCTACTCGCACAAATCGAATCAACAAAAGAGAAAACTTTCAAGATGCACAAGAAACATTTAGTTTAATAGGCAGAAGGTATTTGCAATAAAGAATGTATTACCAAGTGCCTCTAATGAAGAATCTTCATTTCAAATGCACTTAACCTAAGAAAGTATATACTTGTACTTCACCAAGAAAGTTTAACTCTTTTGTTTTTTAACGGAAGCCTTCTCATCTTTACTCCTTCTCTCCCTCACTGCAGTACCTGTTTTGATCGTAAGAAATTCTCTTGTTTGATATTTTACTAGATGTGTTCAATGTCAGCATTTCATACACTCACTGGGCCTTCCAGAGTGAGTGCATCAAGTCATACTGAATAAGATAAACAACAAGGATATTTCCACACATCATAGTGAGCCAAAGCACTTCTGCCTCCCAGTTTCACTTCAGAAATGCCAGCTTGCCTCCGAGTCTAGAGCAGAGCTTCTGCCATCCATGGACCCCACACTCCAACTCCAAACTGCTAGTCAACGGCAACTTAGTTTTTGCCTCCTTCATCCCTATCTCCAAAATTAAACCTGGAATTGTTCCCCTGATTTCATGCGACATCTCAGATATACAGCATATGTTAAGGGCAAGACCTTGCCCCTGGGAGGAGAGCACCTGAAGAAAGTAAAATTTTGTTTAGTCAGGAAGACCAGCCAAAATCAGTCAACAATTTTGCAACCATAAATGCTAAAGGTATACTTTTATAAATATAATTCAGAGCAGTCTCTCTCAGGACACTCCATTATAAGCTGAATTTTCAACATCTGTATTTGCAATGTGGAAATCTAATATAAATGCAGGCTTGTCTAAAACCACAGTCCCTAAAGTTCTTCTTTTCCCACCTGCTATTTTAATTCCTGTACCATCATTCTTATCTTCCAATTCCAACATGAAAGATAACATTTGTGCATCTCATATTTCTATCCTTTGACAGAACCACAGATAAAGTCATTCAAACTAATAGTTATTATAATTTCCATTAGGACTCTGCATTTAAAAATAATCCTTTTACAAGAGCTTCTCCAGCCCCCTAACACTTTTGTTGCTCTTCTCTGTACTTTTCCTAACCCAATAATATCCTTTTTCAGATAAGGTGAAAAGAACTGAATATAATATTCCAAATATGGTCACAGCAAACACTTGTGTAAGTGAAGAAAGATTTAATTTTTATTCTAATTTCTATTTTGTTCCTAATTATGCCTAGCATGAAGTTTGCCTTCTTCACAGCAGCTGCACACCAGGCAGACATTTTTAGCGAGCTGTTGACTAGTACCCCAAGATTCCCATTTTGGTCAGTTGTGGCAGTTCAGATCTCATCAGTATATACTTGAAGTTAGGATTTTTTTGTCCCAACATGCATTACTCTACACTGGCTTATATTGAATTACATTTGCCATTTTGATGCTCATTCTCCAAGCTTGGAGGAATCCCTTTGAAGCTTCTCCCTTTTGATTTTAACCATAAGAAATTATGTGTCCTCACTGAACAGATTTGCAGAAAACCATGCTGTCAGAGTTTAAAGTAAGAGTAAGCTACCTAGTACCTTCCAGATGTTTTGGACTATCAAATCCCATAATCACCGACTATGATGGCTGGAGCTTCTGAGAGTTGGAGTCCAAAACCAGGTTGTCTACAACTGACTTAAACTGTACACAACAGAAGTATCTTCTTCATGTTGATGCTCAGAACCAGATATTTGGAACATTGACTGCTTTGTTCTTTTTAATATTAGCAAACCAGTATTGCCAATGCCAACACTGAAGGAATACATGTTTTCATCCAACAATGATAATTTTACATGAAGCAAAGATACCTTTAATGTCTTGATCATAGTTGGATCAGTTGACCTAACATAGAAACTTTTCAAGTAAGGCTCAAACATGCCCTGTGGAGGAAAAGATAGAAGCATAAATTGGTATTAGTAATTGTACTGAGATTAAATAGTATAAATATTTAATATTATAATTAAATATATTCAATATGCCAAACCTTGCACTGGATCGACATGGTCGCTGTATTCTGGAGTACAATATATTGTACCTCCCTAGAAATAAATGTTGATAGTTAATATGTATCTTTCTTAAGTATCTCTCAGTAAGAAGCATGCAATGGGAAAAAATTGGATAGAATATACAAAGGGCTAGAATATACAAAATTATTTACATAGTTTTTATTTATAAACAATGGCAGAAATGAATGTAAGTGTTTGGTTGCTAGTACTAGCAGTGAATTTTATTATTAGTCAAAATCCATAATGAAACATCCAAGTCTCATAACTTAAAGTACTAACTGGATCCATGTTCAGGCAAACTGGGCTCTCCTAAGCTAAACTTTCAGATTACTAATTAAACCCATATGCCAAAAATGAGTTTACAAGGACCACTTAAGTTCTCATTTTATTTCTGTATAGGTTACAGGGTAAAGGGAGCAGGAAAGAGCAGAAAATTTGCCTGGGAGAATGGTGGCAGGAATGATTAAAGAATATGCACAAATCCTGTACTCCAAGTCTCCAAATCCTGCTTTTATCATGTGGTTGCACCATGTCGGAGTATATGGTATAACAACACTGTATACCTGAAATCTGGGACTCAAAATTATGATTCCCCAATCCCTTCATAGTCAGCACAGAAAGAGCTGTCTCTCTGAGGACGTAACTTGGCCCTGAAGAACAAGATGTGCTGGGATATAGGGCAGGAATGAGGATAGGGTCAGTGGCTTATGCCTTCGAAGACTGAGGGGGGACATGACATCCCTCTATAAGTACCTCAAAGCCTGCCATGAAAAGTCAAGATCTCTTCTTGCTGATGCCAGAGTGTAGGACACGGAATAATCAATTCAAGGTGCAGCAACCCAGATTCAGGCTGGACATCAGGGAAAGCTTCCTGTCAGAGCAATATGACAGTGGAACCAGCTGTCTAGAGAGGTGGTGGGCTCTCCCAAACTAGGGACATTCAAAAAGAAACTGGACAGCCATCTGAGTGGGGCATTGTAACTTGGTGTCTTGCAACACTAGGGGGTTGGACCCAATGACCTTCATGGCCCCTTCCAATTCTACCATTCTATGATTCTATGATCATTCCCTCCCCCCACACATGGATTTGTCTGTAACAGTGAAAATGGCTATCTAGATGACAAGCAGAGTACAAGGTGCAACATCATGCATTGGATGAATGAAAGGCTTTGAGTGCAACTAGGGCAGAGGGAACTGGATTGCAGCGCAAGTTTCATATAACTGAACTCAGTGAATACTATCAACACTATTATTTATTCACACTTTGAAATACTGATCACATTCCTATACAATTATTGAATACCTAAATTACTTTTCCTATAAAACTAAAAACTGTTTTCATACATTTCAGTTTGTCTCCACAGTATATAGTTTTAATTTTCATAACTGCATACCCACACCCCTTGGAAAAACAGTTAGCGGTATTAGAAATGGTATACTTAATTTACCTGTTACTGCGAAGTAAACGTACTAAAGATTTGGCAACAATACCAACTTCAGATTTAGGTGCCACATGCCAATAAAGCTGTGCAACAGCCATCACCACCTGGAAAAAAACAAATGACAGCCACCCACTTTCACTGAACTTGCTGATTGTGCAATACTTCAAAACAGTATGAACATAGTCATCTATAGAAAACATTAATTTCTAACATTCCCTGAAGCAAAGGAAGGCACTCAAGACATCAGAAGTTATTTTCTTTCCTCAAAGGAATTATATTCTTAAGAGAGGATAAAGCAAATGCAAATAAATGCTAGATTCAAGTTCTAACTATCAAAATTCAAGATTTAGTAAACGAGTACGATTTTATGGGGGCAAGGTATACTGAAAAAGATGCAAGGCTCTTAATGTCTATGAAATTTATTTTACAATCTAAACTCAGCAATAAGCCTGTTTTACTTACTACAGCAAGAAAAACTGTATGCAGAGCTTACAACATTATAACACTTCTCTGGTTCACACCAAACTTGATAGTGGTGTTTCATGCAGATGAAGATGCGTGTCTCCATCTGCATCAAAAGCAACATGCAGTAAGTTCAGTTTGGTCCCAGGTACATCATGATATTGATGTACCTATTCAGATTTGTATCTGCATACATATCAATTGTGCATACAGATCTTCCTTGCTATTTAGGATGGATTGTATAAGCTTCAGTGTCCAAAAGCTCATGTATCATTAAAGTGATTTTTGAAGTTAGTTAAACAGACAAGAAAAAGTAGGATAGTGTCAAGTAATACTAATCCAATCCATAATAAAGAGAGCAAAATTGAATAAGTGATTAATAGACTTATTTTTAATTATATCTATTTGTAACATTATTCTATTCCTGGAGGGTTGCTCTGGGAATCCTCCTTGAAGGAAGTACGGAGGGTGTCTACCTGGAGGAGAGCATTCTCTGCAGTGGTGCCCAGACTATGGAATGCACTCTCTAGAGAGGTCCGCCTGGTGCCGATGTTATACATAAAGGTAAAGACCTTTTTATTCAACCATCATTTTAATAATCAAGGTTTTTAGACGTTTTAAGATTTTGTTTTCTCTTTTCACATTTGCATTTCCTATTTTATTTTCCCTTATTTTTTAGTTTATAATGTTCAATTTTAGAGGTTTTTAATAATTGTGGTTTTATTACTGTATTATTGTAATTTTATACCATGTAAGCCATCCTGACCGCTTGTGTGGAAGGATGGGATACAAATGTTTCAAATAAAATAAAATATTCCTTCTGGGAAGTTTAACAGTTAAGAAGCAATTAAAGTTGTTCCTGCTTAAGACAGGGTTTCCCTTTGGGCACTTCCAGTGCTATTAACAAAGGATTCCAAAACTGTGTCTATGAGCAACAGGGAAACGTATTTAAGAAATTACTTAGTTTTTAAAATACGTATACATGATTTTTGCATAAAATACATATAACTTTCCATTCCATTTCTGCTTCCATTTGTTAATTTCTATGGAGCGAATTTTTTTTAAAGTGTATATAACAAGACTGTTCCATTACAGAATTTATCTGTGCAATGACCTCCTCCTGAAAAGCAGCTACTGGACATTGCCAAAACATCTGTTCAAAAGAGGCATCAGCTGTACTGCACCACTAGCAACTAGCTGAACTAGGCAATCCCTTATTAAAGAGATCTTGCAGTATCTGATACACACAAAAGTTCTTGGTAAACAAGATAAAACCTAAGATCCAAAGTGGAAATCCCACTGATTAGAAATTTGGTTGTGCTGCCCACAGTAGTTTGTCAAATATGCCCATACATCCAAATAGGTTCAAGACCCTGACTCAAGGGGGTTAATTAAAAGCCTCAAATAGTATAGTCACAATCAAGTTCTTACATGGCTAATGCATCTCTCATCTATAGCTAACAAAAAGTTCCCAAAGTATAAATAAAAATTAGTGAAACAAACCATATAGAAACATAGAAACAGAGCAAGTCAGAAGGGGCAATCATAATTATAAACACCAAAACATAATGTGATTTATAAAAACAATATTGTTAGTTAGTATTGTGGTTTAGTGGATTGATAGTTGTTTGCTGGTATTTATTTATTCCATATTAAACCACCAAATAGCCAAAGCTTTCTGAGTAGTTCACAACAATTTACAATACAGTATAAATCTTTAAATAGCTAATTCTATACTATAAAACAAAAACCGGAATAAAGTTTAGCAGCAATACAAAGGTTTTTTTTAAAATGCAGACTGTAGAACAAAGTGAAACCAAAATTGCTGGGATAATTCCTGGGAAAATAATATTTTACATATGTACACTTTACAATTACACTATTTTTATATTCTTTGTCCTTTTTCATATACTACTGGCATGTAAAAACATCTGTCTGAAAATTTGTCTGTTTCAATAAACTCTATCAAAATAGTGAGGGACAGGTATTTATATTTTCATATTAAAAGCGAATACACCTAATTTTACAGCATTTTATATCCAAAGGTTAAAACTGGATATACTAGAGTACTCTGTTCAGCGGGTTATATGTAGAGATAAGTGAGCATAAGGGGGACAGCAGAAACTGATTTTACCTTCCTCTACTACCCTTAGCTCTAGATTGTACCCTATTGCCTAATTTAAAAATACAACCTTTTTTTAAAAAGGTATTTTATGAATGGAATTAGCCATACAGCAGCATTCCGGCTTTGTAGTAACGGCTTTGTATTTCGTATCAGCAATCTGTGGTCTGGATCCATGGAATAGGGTTTGTTCACTCTCTGATTTTTTTCTTGCTGCTCCTCCTCACATTCATAGAAATTCTTTTCATTATACTCTTCCAGACCAACATCCTATCAAGGGAAATAAAAACAAAACACAGTGGTTTAACTTTTTATTTTCAGATTTTAAAAGTCATAAATACTCTATACAATCTTCTAATTTCTCTTTAATATTTCAAGCTATTCTAAATTTGTCAAGGGATTCTTGACAATTTATAGACAAGAAGATTATTCCTTTCAAACAGCTGAATGAAAAGATTCAATGCACAGGCTTCCATATTTCAGCTCACCAAACAAAAACCTAATAGCAGTATGTCTATACCAGGGGTCGGCACCTTTTAACACTCAAAGAGCTATTTGGACCCATCTCCCACACAAAAGAAAACACTGGGAGCTGCAAAACTCTTTTGACATCTAAAATGAAGATAACACTGCATATATCGTTTTTTACCTTAATGCCATGTACACCTTCATTATGATTTAGCTGCAGCTCTTGTTCAGTCACTAAAAACTGTTATCTTTAATCTTATATTATAAACTAGTAGGACTCCTTTCATATATTTTGAATAGGAGAACAGCTTCCTGAAGAGTCAAAGTCAGTGCTAAAGGGCTGCATGCATTAAACAACAAACCCAGTAAGTCTGTCAGCAGTAAAAGCCAATGAATCTACCCACGTATCATTAAACGTTTGGTGGGGCGAGCTCAGTAAATTGGGGCAGATCCGCTGGAGATATAGGTGTGTTTAGTGACTGATTAGCAGATAAACAGTCAAGTGCTGCGAATTGTGACAGGTCCCAAGTGCAGCTTTTAACATTCAGATGAAGGAGATTACATTGGGACAAAGAGAATCTTTTCAGCAGTGTTTCTCCAGTTTGGGTAACATGAGAGCCTGCCAGGAAGCTTGTTTAGCAAAGGAATGTAGCAATTTACTTAACTAGCCGATTTACTTAACTATGTTCCTGAGTGGAGCTTCGAGCAGATCAGCGGCTGTGCCGGTGCATGTTTTGAACGACGGAGCCGCAGCAGAGGGGTTCAAGAGCCACGTGCGGCTCTGGAGCCGCGGGTTGCCAACCCCTGGTCTATACCATGAGTCCTCAAACTACGGCCTGAGGGCCGGATCCGGCCTGCCATGCCCATTTGGACCGAGCGTTTGTCCGCCGCTGCCCACCTCGCCCTGAGCGCAGGGAGGCAGCAGTTTGCTCCCTCAGAGCAAACAATCTCCAAGCGAGCAAGCCACAGCCTCGTGCACCTGCCTTGCAGCACATGCCCGCCGCGCCTCGCTTCCCTCGCTGCGCACGCCCACCCATGCCTCACCTCACCTTGTCTCGCAGCGAGGCGCCCTGCTCCCACCTAAGCACGCCCGCATGCACCACCGCTACCACCTTTCCAGCCCACACCCAGCACCAGCAGCTTTCAACTGGCCCCCTGGTGGAGGACCCCTGGTCTATACAGTAGTATAGTAGCAGGACCACCAAAAATTAAAACACAGAAGTTTACCTAGTAGGAAATACAGCACAAACTCTCAGTGAGGTACCCAAGATACAAACCTGAATAAGACACCTACCACTTGCCTTAGCACATATTTCCTAGAAACTTTCAGGACATGGTATGAGAACAAGAGTTCACAGAAAACAATAGTCTAACTTGTTAAAAAACAAACTTCGTTATCTCATGAAAGGTATGTTTTAGTTCAGGTTTTTCTCCTCTCACACTCTACAGGAAGACATGTCAGAATAGTAAGATTAAGGTGGCTGCAATCAGATCATATTCAGGGATAGGAAATTAGTGTTTGCAAGTTCCTCTCTTCAAGGCTTTAAAAATATCTATCATTTAAGATCACAGAATAGTAGAGTAGGAAGGTGCCATGAAGGCCACTGGGTCCAACCTCCTGCTGGTGTAGGACACCAATTTATATCATCTCACTCAGATGGTTGTCCAGTTTTTTTCTGAATGTTTCTAGTGTAGGGGAGCCCACAGCCATTCTAGGCAACTGGTTCCACTGTCATATTGCTCTGACAGCGAGGAAACTTTTCCTGATATCTAGCCTGAATCTGAGTTGTTGCAACTTCAATTGATTATTTGTGACCTACACTCTGGTATCAGTGAGACGCGAACTTGACCTCCTTCTTTGTGACAGACTTTGAGGTACTTATATAGGAATAGCATGTCTCCCACCAGTCTTCTCTTCTTAAGACTAGACATGCCCAGTTGTCTCAGTCTTTCCTCATAGGGCAGTGTTTCCAAACCCTGAATAATTTTTGTTGTCCTCTGGACCCTTTCTAATTTTTCTGCATCTTTCTTAAAACTTGGTGCCCAGATAAACCAAGATGATACACATTTTACCAGGTTATTTATTTAAGATATTTCTATACTATATAATATAGCAAAATACATAAGCAGTATTTTATACCATGTGATATACTAAAATCCCTAAGTGGTTCATGTTAAACTGTACATTAAAACACATGAAAAAATAAAATACCATTGAAAAGGCCAGTTTGCACACCACTACTTGGCAACATTCAAATGACTATTGGTACCTCCTAAATAGATCCCAGGGGTCAGCTGGAAGATGGCTGGCTAGGCAGCCTGATCCCAAGTCATTTAGTGCTTTATGTATCAAAAGCAAAACATGGCTCAGTAGCTAATGCACAGCCAGTGCAGCTCTTTTAGTATTTGTGTAACATACGTATAGTTTGGTCCTAAGGTTGGCCCTTATTTGTCAGAACCCTACTGGAATCTGTTCCTCCAAGGATTTCCAGGCTTCCTTTTGAGCCTGGCCCAGTCTCCCAAAACAATCCAAGCCAAGATGAAGTCCATGAATGTTTGTGGACCCTCCAGTTATGCAACTGGCAACCTTATTCTATGTCTGCTGCAGCTGCCCAAAAGATGGCTGCAGCTTGCACGGAAAAAGAATGCTGCTTGCACAGTGGTCATGGGGGGAGGAAACTTGACAGGACGATGCTACTGGCAATCCCCTCACAACTAGCCTACTTTAGCGCTAGTTACAGCTACTCAAACAGTGGTGACTCCTGGTATGAGAGAGAGGCAGTGCTTGTGCTGTGAGCGGGGATCAACTCCTGGAGAGCACCCAGTGGACACTGGATCTACTTGCCAGGAACTCAGTCTAGGGAGCCGAGTCCAGGGAATCTGATGGATTCTTAAACTTCCCTACTTCATGCTACAGTGAGCACCTTGGCCTTTGCATTGTGTACTAGCAACAGCTTCTGACCCCCATGTAAAGCACTGCAGTGTAGCCTAACATGGCTCTCAATAATTAGGATTTTCTCATTTTCAAATCTCAAGATTTATATGGAGAAAGAAGAAACCAAGGATTAAACTAAAAATACTTCAGAAGGCTAAAGAGAATGGGGGCTTTGGTCTCCCTGATTGGATGCTGTACTATCAAGCTTCTGTTTTAACGTGGTTAAAAGAATGCATAACTTTAAGAAATAAGAGAATCTTGTATCTTGAAGGGCATGATTTGCAAATGGGTTGGCATGCTTATATGTGGTACGAAAAGGCTAAGTTACATGGCTCTTTTTTAAGTCACTATATTGGGAAATCATTAATGTTGGTGTGGGAAAAGTTAAAGACAAAACTGTACAATAAATTACCAAGATGGCTTTCACCTATGGAAGCTCTTGTATATCCAAATGCATTGAACTTTGAAGGAATCATAAGATATGACGACATTTTGGATAATGATGGAGGACTGAAATTGAATCAAGAAACACAAGAACAAGGATCTAATATTTCTTGGTGGCATAAGGTGCAAATACATTCAAGATATGCTAAAGACTATAAAATGTGGGGCTTTTATAAAGATTTAATAGCATTTGATAAGGTGATGCTTAAATCAGATGAGAAAATGATTAAAAGACTATATAATTTCTTACTCGATAGGAGAATGGAAGATGAACAGGTTAAGGAAACCATGATAACGTGGGCACAAAACTTTGGATATAATATTGAATTAGAAAAATGGCAAACGCTGTGGGAGAGAAATATTAAGGTAACATTAGCAACTTCGTATAAAGAAAACCTGTATAAAATGTTTTATAGATGGTATCTGTCATCAAATAGATTAGCTAAGATGTTTCCAAATATGTCAAATGGATGTTGGAAATGTAAACATAAATTGGGTACTTTCTATCCTATGTGGTGGACTTGCGATAATGCGAAAAAGTATTGGATTAAAATACATACATGGCTTGAGGAAATGCTACAAAAATCCCTAGCTTTTAAACCTGAAGTCTTCTTATTAGGTATTATACCTGTTGATATTAGTAAACAAGAAATGTACTTGATTTTACATGTAATTACTGTGACGAGGATTGCATTTGTTCAATACTGGAAAAGTGAAGAACCACCCACTGACGAACTGATCCTAAAAAAGATCTTGAACTGTGCAGAAATGGATAGATTGACTTTATCATTGAAGGAGAAAGAAGATCCTGATTTCTATCAAACTTGGGACTCTTTTTATCATTGGCTAGAGAAACGGGACTTCGTATAGATTTAAATATGTTTCTAAGTTATCACAAATGGGGAAAAAAATGTGGGGGCTGACCCGACAGGTCCGATGTTTCTGATGACTGATGTTGTTTATAGTTTTTCTTTGTTGTAGGGTTATTTTTAATAAAACTTATTAAAAAAATAACAATTAGGATTTTTCCATCCAAGAGTGAGAGTATTTGATCAAGTGATCTTGACCTTCTTTCTTCAAGGAAATCACTAAATCTATTTCAATAAAGGCCCTATCTAGTCCGACATACTATCCATCAGTACCTACATGAGCATGCTTTCCAGTCACCCTACCCATGCCAGTATAGGAAAAAGTCACTTTCAAAATACCTCGGGTAGGCCAAATTTTTCTACTAGCATCTTGGTCAATTACAGGGCTTGAGGCTTTTGAGGGGCTTTTGAGGCATCATTCAACTTGCAAATTTGGTATCCACTAATGGAGAAGTTAACTCTGAAGCCAACCATGTCTGGTATGGATGAAATTATTAAAGGTAGTTAAGCAGAAGCAACCCTCACCCCCCCCTTTTCAGGACAGAGATATTCTT